TGCCAAATGTGAAAATATACACTGTTCGACCATCTAATTAAATTAGGCCACGCAAAGTTGATTTTCATTTTGCATTACATGGATTTCAAAATTAGGGACAGACAGACAGATTTTTTTTTTTAATTCAATTTATTGCAAATAGAATAATGATTATATTTAAGGTTATATTTGCACAACAAGGAATCAAAAAATTGGGCTAGCAGTCATATTTTCCTGTCAGTCCTATCAGACAATTACAGGAAATTAAGGTCTTCATCGGGTGATACTGGATGAAAATAGTGGGAAAAAATAGGTCAAAAATCAAACAATTGGCATAATTGGGATCTAAAAAAAAAAAAAAATTTTTTTTAAAAAATTGAAAAAATGAGACGGCAGGTAATGCAAAACGAAAAATCAACTTTGCGTGGCCTTAGATTGGTATTTTATATTTTTCTTATTAAAGTAATATCTATTGAAAAGTTTTTCAACATTTCATTAGTAAGTTAAGAATGATAACCAACTTCTTACTAGCATTGAATATTTCAAGAAGGATATGAAAAATTTGAATCTCTATCGATAGACAAGTTAATGTCTTAACTTTTTCACCAAATTTTATCACAGTCAATGAATATACAGATTTGATCAATATAAAATGAAGGACATAAAGAGTACATAAATCGATGAATGTCATAAAAACTAACCAGATAGTTAAATATTAAATGGTGAATTATTGTTTATTTGTATTATCCATTGCATTAGACATGTGTTGTAAATACTATCATTAAAATCTTAGCTTATATTATACAAATTTCAGTCTAGAATATAATTGGGTTAAATTCAATTTTATCCAGAATAAAATCGGAATCTATTCATTAAAAGTTTTTATATGGTCCAGAATAAAGTCACGGTACTTCCAGTAATATATTCCTTCCCCCAAGACTAGCTCAATTATTAAAGACAAAATTAGAAGTCAGAGTACAATTTTTATAAAGATTTTACTAATACTTTCTTACCCTCATCAAATTTTTTATCTGCTTTGATTCAGTATATAATAATCACTCCTTATTTATATTATAAAATATCATTTTATTTGAAGTATTTTAAGAGGTAAATCGCGGTTAAAGGGTATAAAAATAGCAAATTTAATAGTAAAAATTGTCAGAAGTTTATATAGTTTTTCTATAGGACTGAAATGCAGCTATCTTACAATGAAAAGTTTTTTTATGCCAAATAAACCTTCCTTGAGTTTCTAACAAAGATTATAGAGCAAGTTATTCTGGTTCTAATAGTAGTAGAATTATTCAAATTGGGTTGGTAGATCGCGAGTTATTGGCATTTTCTTCTTTATACCTATATAATTTTATATATTGCCAGAAACTTTCGGTATTCCAACATTATATGAAAGTAATAGTAATTTTCCGCTGATTTTTACTATGAAATTTATACCCTTCAGCTGCGATCTACTACTTAAATATATAAAAATTGTCTACACTTATAGCAACAACAAAAATTTGGCCGTATGACTGGATAGGATGAAAAATTGGTCTGTTATATAGAACAAACGGAGTTGTTCATAATTGTCATGAGCGTTATTTTATTTTATCAATCAACTATATAATAAAAATGTAAAAATTATTCAAGGGCATGAGTATGTTTATTATATCATAATTGTGTGATAAGTATACTAGAGTTCATCTATTTAATTTGTCGTGTGCTAAAAAAAAGTGTAATAATGTTGACAGAATTATGAAAGTAATTATGGTCAAACAATTAAATTGACGAAATTTTGATTATATGGGGGTGTCAGTAGAAACCAGGCAAATTGATTCTAAGTAAATTTTTTTTGGACTTTAAATTAAATTATCTCAACTATCAAACCAAACTTGATAAAAAATTTTTATCAATTTTGTTGAGATATTTTAATTTAAATTTTTTTAAAAAAACTTACTAAAAACAATTTGCCTGGTTTCTACTAACACCCCCATATAACAATCGAATTTCGACGTTTATTTAATTGTTAAGCATGATTTTTTAACTTCATCGAATAATATTTAGAAAAAATGTCCTTTCTAAGAATCGCGAAATTTTTTTACGTTGATCTCTGCACAATAGTAATACAAAGCTATAACGATAAGCAGCCCATACAAAACAACTATATCGGGTAAAAATGTATCAAATATGGCAAGGATAAGCAACCAAATTAGGTGTCATAACAATCAGTCATACGATATTTTATCAGGTGACTTACATTTTGGGCCACAAACTCAAGTGATTGGTATTTGCTATTATATTGTAAGAACCAATTAAAGATATAATGTGCTTGCTGGATTCTTTGGAACTTAATTATGACATCTTCCCAAATTGTCGGTCGCACATAATTTATTCATCTGGATAGATATAGAACACATTCATCCAATTAGGTGCTCAGGTTTGCACTTGTACTTTGTACTATGTTCCTGGTACATTATGTTTTTATTAGTGTTCTCTAATAGCAACCTTCCCAAATGAACGCTTTGGAGCTGGCCCCAACGACGTGTATTTAGGGAGGTCTTACTGTACTATATACTACATTTTCCTAACCATAACCTTAAATTGTATTGTGGTTTTATCAGCTTTATTTTACACGCAACTTCTTTTAGGTTTAGATTGGTCAAAAATTGCACTATGATGATAATGAACCTGTAAAACTGTTACTACCGTACAGCGCTGCATACAGTATCCCTGGTCTTTTTCGAAATACCAAGATTAATTAAATAATACCCCCGGGGTACTGTGCGAAGAGGAGGGTACTATACGAGGGGGATACTATGAAGAGTGTATTGGTTATGTGAGTTGATCTAATAACAGGATCATTGACTCGGATCATAAACGTCATATAGTAATCATTTACCTGGTAAATAAATAAGTATACAACCGAACTTCTTTACATAAATACATTAAGCGATCGAACTTCATTAGAACTTCTTTACATAACTTAATATATTAAGCTATCGAATTTCTTTATATAAATATATTGAAATGGGTTTACGAGCAAACAAAAGAACAAATCGTGTTACAAATACAAAAAAAAAACACGACGGCAGTGGAACACACGAGAAAAATAATATATGGGATGATTAATAATCGAATAATTAGAGATCGGATTTTTTTTAAAAAAAAATTGGTACATACAATGAATTTTACGAAGTAGAAAGTATTAATTCTGATAATGATAATTTAATATAATTTAAGAAATATGTAATTGCAAACGTTAATTGAAACGAATAAATATATATATATATAGCATGGCTTTATTAAATATATCAATAAAGTCAACCTTTTCAATATTTTTATTAATAACGATAATTTACGTATCGTAAAATTCGTTTAATCGATTAGCTACTTGACAAAAATGGTAGAATTTACAATTAAATAGTACCCCGGTACTAATTAAAGGGGATACTTTTTCAAGGGGGTACTGTATGCAGCGCTGTACGGTAGTAAAATAAGTATCATTAACTTTACATTACTTTATTGTTATAAAGATGAAGGGTGCACTTAATATTTACACCTGCTTCGAATTATTGCTAATTTTTCACCAATCAAAATGATATCAAATGATGTCAAATTTGTAGATCGTAATCATCTATTATCATTTGGTCACTATTTTTACATAAATATATACAGTCAGACCTTAAGTGCAACCACCTAAATGCACAATGGAAGACTAGTATCACAATGGAACTTTAGATAATGCACGCTTTTTATTCTATAAGTACATCTAATAAAATTCAATAAGTGCATTCATTTGATTAATAGCCAATCAGATTCATTAATTTCAGGTTACCAAAACCATATTTATAATGTGATAATAATCATAATATAGTCGACCCTCCATTGCATGTTATTTTATCAGAATGATCCAAAGATTTATTGAAGTTCTTACTTAAACCTCCACAAATGCACACTAATTGCACATTTTCCCAACAGGGTGCATTGACTGCATGATTTTATTAGTGTTTTCTAATTTCTCTAATTGCAACCATCCCTAAATGCACGCTCTAAAGCTGGTCCACGAGGATGTGTATTTAGGGAGGTCTGACTATATTAAGTATTTAAATAATGAATCATTTAATTTACATCTTGATTACAGCACACAAACTAAAATCGTGATAAACGCCTACTATATTTACATATGAGTGCTGCCAAGGAATGTTTATTACCATTATAGATTTTTCATTACCGGTTAACTGTACACAAAATATATTGAAAGTCTGATCGGCCTTTTTCCCTTGGCAGCACTCATATGAGAATGATTTTGAGAGATTGATTTCTTTTAAACTCAATATATATAATTATATACAGTAAAACCTAAATTTTAATTATTTTTAATTTCTTTATAAATAATCTGAAAATTTTCAAACTTAGATTTTTCTGGATCAGCTTTAAAAGTCCAAATAGTTTAAGTGCATCCTAGTCATGAATTTTTTTCAAAAACTTTATTATTTAATTCTTATAATAGCTTTTAAGCATGTATTTGTGGTTTGTCAAACTCCTGTTCCTAGAACTTTTCAGAGTAGTATTCTAATCGGATCTAAATTTTATTTTTTTGGTGGTTATACTGGAGAATTATCGGATTCTAATGCGCTACCTGTATATAGTAATGAAGTATGGTATATTGACTTATCAAATTCATTTAATACGACTTTTCCTCCATGGGAAAAAAGTGCTGCTATGTTTCAGTCTGGACATGGTCATTCAACAGTATGTCTTAGCTCAATTGACAATTCTACAGCTTTCTTAATTGGTGGAGTAGAATATGATCAAACGAAAAATTACATGTCATTTATCCCTCCATTCATATATACTTTCAATTCCAACAATTCTTCATTAAAATCCTCAAATATTTCTGGTTTTAATCGTTTTCTTCAGTCAATGCAGGCAGTGATTAATAATAATGAAAAGATTTTTATATTTGATGGATTTAGTGGCAATATATCTAATGGCAGTGCTATGCTACTGATGGTTATATACCTAATAACATGACTGTGTTTGATATTAATTCGATGAGTTTGAAAAACCTTAATACACTTAATGCACCACAACCTCTAGAATATTATGCTGCTGTTTTATTGAAAAATGACATCATAATTTATATTGGTGGAATTCAAAATACAAGTCAAGTTCTGGTTGAGGCAAATATGTCTGAGGTAATTTAACTTAGATTCATAAATATATTCATTTAGTAAATCATTGATAATTTATATTATTATAATAAAATATAGATTCCGACATTCGATACAAAATCTTCAACGTGGTCTATTACAGCATGTATTTAATTTATAATAATACAAGTATAAATTTTTCATAAATTAATATCTATTTTATTAGAGCGCCTCTGGTAGTACAGTCGGAACCCGTTATCGTCATTCAGCTGTTTTAAGTAAATATTTTTAATTTCTTTTGTTATATTTAGTTATTTATTTTATTTTTCAATATTATTTTTATGCGTTTTGCTAGCCCAGGATGATCGAGTTATAATATTTGGTGGTGGAACTGGTGGTCTACCTAATAATATTGATTCCTCTGATTCACCATCTCAACTTCTTGCAGTCCTGGATACAAGTGTTACGTATTCCATATAGTTGGTCAATTCCAAACCCTAGTGGTTCTGGTCCAAAAGAACTCTTTAGTCACTCTGTGGCACTTTACGGAAATTATATGTTTATTGCATTTGGTAATTATATTCTTTTTAATTTTTTTTAATTAAAAATGAAAATTTTATTTATTATAATTTATTTACTTAGGTTGTGCAAAATTAAGTGAACTTAGTAATAAAGTATATATACTTAATACACAAAATTATGCATGGATTACTGATTATGATGCATCAGATTATAATAAGGCTAATTTTCCTAAAAGTTTTATTTCAAATGTTTCTACCCCATCAAATTCTAAATTTAAATTAATTATTGGCCTTAGTGTTGGCATTTTTTGTTTAGTCTGTTTTGCAGTTGTTGAATTCTTAATTTATAAAAAAATACAACGTCGCGAAATTATTAAAATACCCAGCTCCTCTGAAACTCGTGAAATTATTGAAATACCTGGTTCCTCGAAAGAATAATAGTTTGTCTGACATCACATCTATATTCTTTCAATACAACTGGGTGTGAAGTACCAGTTTATTCAATAAGAGTTTTATTTAATTTGCAGTTATAAAAGAGGTAATTAGCAAGTTCTTAATGAAATTTCAATGCAAATAAAATATTTTTATAAGTTATAATCCATATTCTCACACAATAATGCAATCAAACAACAATAAGACAATTATATGTATGAGCTGCAAATTTTGGTTGGTCAAAGATACATCATTTTGTAAACAGCGACAATATACTTAGCATTGTATCCGTAATTTTTAGCAATAAAATTTTAGGATCGAAATTTTCAATTTTATTCTTTGACATGATCCACTTTTGCTTAACGAAGCATTTATTCATTTCTAATTATTTTTCGACGAAAATTCGGTTTTAAGAAATTGTATAAAATTTCTTTGCCAAGATCTAATTATTTCGACGAAAATTTGTTTTTAAAAAATTGTGTAAAATTTCAATTCCTATTCTTTGGTAAGATCCGTTTTCGTTCAAACAAAGCCTTTATTCATTTCTAATTATTTTTCGAAAATTCGTTTTTAATAAAATTTCAATTCCTATTATCCATTTTCATTCATACGAAGCCTTTATTCATTTCTAATTATTTTTCGACAAAAATTAGGTTTTAAAAATTGTATAAACGTTCAATTCCTATTTTTTGGCAAGATCCATTTTCGTTCAAACGAAGGCATTTATATGTTTCTAATTATTTTCGTTTCTTGTTGATGAAAAATTCGTTTTCCCTCTTCTTTGGCAAGATACATTTTCGTTCAAACGAAAGCATTTGTTTACTTCTAATTATTTTTTGTTTCTTGTTGAAGACAAAAGATTCATTTTTAAAAAATTAACCTAAATTTCGATCCCTATTCTTTGGAAAGCATTTATTTATTTCTAATTATTTTTCGTTTCTTGCCGAAGACGAAAAATATATAAACAAATATAAACATATAAAATTTTTTAGATTTCATTTATCATAATTCTTCATGCATTCTCGACAAATATTGAAAATATCTTAGTTGCTTGGAATCTTGACCCAATATTCATTTTTAAACCAGTCGATCATATTTAACTTTTTTAATAACAGCACTTGTTCAGTGATATATTTGTTATTAAAAGTCTAATTTACAGTATATTCGATTCCTTCTTGTTAAGGTTTATTGGTTGACATGACCAGTTTTTTCCATAAATATTCATACAAACTAAAGCACACCAACAAAATTGGTTACATTATTGTTATGACTATATGATACAAAAATAGCTTATTTTATTATTATTATTATTATACAGATCATGCCGAATCAATAATTTAACCGGATTGGCTGAAAAATTATCCGGCAAATTTTTACAGGTGTCCCTGGAATTATGATAATAGCTGTAAATGAGAGTTTGAAAAAACTTATTTGTTTTTCAATATTTTAAAATCGGAAAATGAAATGGGAGTGTTTGGAGATTCCATTGGAAAATTTTTATAATACTTCGAAAATAAATAAATACCGTATTCCTCCGAAAATAAGCACCCCTTAATGCTGGCCAGGATAGTATAATTCAGGCCAAATTTTTTATAATGCAGGCCAGGGGTGCTTATTTTCGGAGGAATACGGTAAATAAAAAGTAAAGCTTTCGTTCAAACTGAAGATAAGATCAGATGCGCTTAAATTTTTTTAACTTTTAATTAATGTTTCTCAACAACTACATATTTTAATTCTAAGATCTGTAGAAAATTTTTATCGAATTTGGTTTTGTAGTTATCGAGAAATTTTTATTTAAATGATTTTCATGATTTTGGGTGGTTTTTTTTCAAACTTTAAATGAAGTTTTCTCAATAACTATCTGGCCAACAACTTGTAGAATCAAAAAAAAAAAAAGTTTATTAAGTTTAATCACATTATCGTTGAGTAACCTTTGCTAGAAGATATAAAAAATATCGAATTTTAAAACTGATCACATGTTTACATAGTACAACCAAACTGGTAGAAAAAGTATTTTTTTTTTCGAACCTTAAGCAAAGATATAACAGCAACTATCGATCAAAAATCGATTAATTATTATTATTATTTTTAATTCTACGAATCCATAAAATTAAAATAAATAATTGTCATCAACTTTGAATTGGTATTTATTGAGATATCCCGCTTAAAATTTAAAAAAATCTAGGCATTATAAAAACAGACCACGGCTAGTAATGCCTGAAGAAACCATATGATGCCAATTATCACATACTATTGCTTATAAAAAATCAAAATAGATTATTTAGCATCACATGGTTTCGTCAGGCATCACTAACAAGGGCTAAGTTTTTTTCAAACTTCGAGCAATAATACCTCAATATCTATCTAAAATTTTTATTTTAATTCTATAAAATCATCGAAATAAAGCAATAAAATTTTATTTTAAGGATAATTATCGAGATATTATCGCTCAAAGTTTGCTTGCAATTTTTTTGATAATCGTCTAAACTTTTAAACTTAAAACAAAGATACGGTGTACCATTTGGGTTAAAAGTGAAATTATTTGCGTTTTAGAGTTTTAGAGTTTTAGAGTTTTAGAGTTTTAGAGTTTTAGAGTTTTAGAGTTTTAGAGTTTTAGAGTTTT